AATAGGATTGGTAATAGTTACGCATCATTTAACAGTTTCATCATATTTCAATATTGTTGTAGAATCAAAAATATTAATTAATCGTGGATTCACAATCTGTAATTTTCAGTTTGGGTAAGTCAGACCAAAAACGTAGAACATTTTCACGAAGTAAATTACTTGCTGCACACTTCGTAGTATACAACACAATCAATAGGATTTGTACCACTTTTTTAATAACGCTGTGTCACACCAGAGAATATTGAAAATCAGTCTAAAGTTTTTTCCTGGATAATGTTGTTGATTGTAGTTTGTTGAGATGATATATATTTCATTTTATTCCCATTATTTTCATATTAAACAACCTTCGTATACACTCTTTCACTTTTTCATACCAATTCAGTTTTAAGTGGAGCGTGCGACGCATATAATATTTGACATTCCGAATTTTAGAAATCTTCAAAATACTCGTGAAATTTATTAATATTTAAGAAAATACATGTATGCATTTATTTACACCATCATTAAGACACAACTATTGCTTCTCAACTGTAAGAAAAAAACTTGCATCACCAAATTTGCAGAGCCAAGAAAATAACTATATTAATCAAACTTTTTCCCGGAATTCACAACTTTGCCTAGTATTTTTTCGTTTTTGGTAGTACTGCTACAATATTAACCCAAGTTGCATCGAAATCATTAACACATAACCCAAAATATCAACATCATTTCTTAACACATGATAGAATTTTTACAGTTGAACGTCCTTTTTTTAAGTAAAATAAGAAAAAAAAACAAACATACCAAGGAACATCAAATTGTTTCTTGTTAAATAAATTTGCTTTCCTATAATAGTTTCGTCCATGATCAAATTATATCATCCAGTTTGAGCTATATGTTTTGAACGAGAAAATACAACATCTTCGGTTGGTAAATTTAGCATAATCCCTAAATATTTACATATTTGTATAGGTTATTATATGGTTGAATACGCCGACGACATGCTATTTGAAGTTTGATTCCTTTGATGCATATTATGTATATTAATAAAATTGAAGGCTAACTTTTCCAAATTGACCCTTTAAAATAACATAAAGTGATGTTACTAACCTTTCAACCAGTTGTTCATCGAACTTTTACATTAATACAAATTTTGATTGATAATGGGTTTGATGTAAATTTCCATCACTATGCAGAGAAGCTTGGGTGGAGTAGTTTCCTCCCAGATGACCATTTAATTGGGCCATGTCATCGTGAAAAGGCAGGCAAATTGGGCTTTGATATAAAATTGTTTTTATTTTGAAAACGTAATATTTTTAATTGCCCATTTGCTCAATTTTTATAAGTTAAACCCCACATGTAAATTTAAGCGACTTAAAACATGGAATACGTAAACGCCTCTCCAATGCATGTTAGCATTGTCTACTCTGAAAAATTATCGCTAATAAAGAACTACTTTGGTTCAAATTAAAGTATATTTTGTGTTAAACTTCTTTTAGAGATTCAGAAACATATCTTTACCGTTTGCATACAAATGTGAGGAAATATTAATACCTATGTTGGCTTATTTATAAAAATTCCGTAGAGCCATTTTGCGAAAAATATTATATTACGACCACTAAATCAATTTGGTAATCGTCTGCACGGAATCGTTATATGCTCAAATGTATGAGTATAAGTAAACGAAATTTATTTTTTTTCTAAGGTTTTTTTTTTGGAGATGTGTGAATGCACCTGAAAGCAAATTCAGGTAATTACATAAAGGTTAGAGAAAAGCAACTGAAAATGCAAAAAATATAATGGAAAAATACGAAATGTGTGAGCATCAAACATCGAAACGTCAGCTACTACTTTTCTATTTCAATAGGAAGGAACAAGCTTCTTTAAAATTTGAAAATGTTCTAGAAATTTAATTGAATTATAAAGGCCCCTAAAAATTGTATTTTTGAATTTAAAATGTTATTTTTGATAATAAAGTAAACTCATTATTCAAACAATATATTAAAAATTTCTCGAATTGATGTTGCAAAATTAAGATGATCACATTCATGCTAGTTTTTGTATAGAATATTGAAACATAATTCTGTCTCGTATTTGATGTTTCTATGAACCGCAGCTTGAACAAGGAGAAAAAACCAGTTGTTTTTAAACATAACGCATGTATCGACGCTTAAAACTATTGTGTCGGTGTTCACACAACAAATTCATTTTAAAATCTGCAAAACATGTCCTCTTAATGGCAAATATGACCGTAAATTGTAAAAGAATGATTTGGACAAAATGGCTACACTCGTCGAGTTGAGAAGCAAAATAGTTTTATAAATACACAACGCAGGTAATACATTCAGGGATTTGCAATTTGTAGCCTGCCTTATTTTAGACTTTCGCCCTGGGATACATTTGTTTATCCACTCTTAATACAATAAAATTAGTTGGAATACATACCCATATCCTCCGCCGCCGCCACTGCGATCTTGCCATCCACCACCTGAATTGCCACCACGATTACCGGAATCGTAACCTAAAATTATAACTTTGTGAGTAAAATTTTTTTCAAGTAATTCAAAATCTATATTTACCTCCCGGTTTATTGTATGATGGAGGAGGTTTGCTATATGGTCCACTGCTGCCACCGCTGTCGGAGCCCATTTGATAATTCGGTGGAGGCACAGAAAAATTATTGTATCCACCACCACCTCCTCCGCCACCCTGACCATAGCCTTGATATCAAAAACAATTTAGGATAAGTTTAACAATAAATTTATTATAAAAACTTACGATCCATATTTAACTGTGTGTGTATAACTAAATCGAACGTGAGTGAAAAATACTATGTTTGGATCCACGAAAGCCAAACTTCACAAACCAAACTCCGAGCACGAATAGAAGAAACGCGATTAAAAACACCCTCCTCGTTAAAAGTTCTATTACATTTTTCAAAATGGCGACATACACATGCGGTTACCAATTATTCGTTGCGCTTCATCTAAATCAAATGCTCTCAAGCAACGCGTCAAATTGTATTGATTGGCCCAATTCACACGAGAATAATTTTTAGTCCAAACAAATTTTTTTAAAACATACCATAGAGGAACAAAGGAGTTTTAGGTTGACTTATTTCGATTTTGGCCCTAGGCTCCTTTGTTCATTTCCTTTGTTCTTCCACCTTAAGTAGAAGAAGATAGAATAATTTTGTACTCCACCACGAAATATTAATGTGTCGTTTTTAGTCACGTTAATCTTCTGGCTAGCTGATGAATAACTGCTGATTCTATATCGGAGTATGAAAACATAAGCCAATGTCTCACACTGAAGAGTGTTGGATAGTGGACCAGAAAATGTTCGCTTGTTTCAGTCTCATCATCGTCTGTAGTAATGTTTGTCCACCACAGGGTAGAAATGGCATAAAGGTGGACGAGTGATTTACTTCACCGATTCACCCGGTTTCGTACCTTTGCAAATTCATCCGCTGCTTCATTGTTAAGAATGTTGGGATGACCAGGAATCCAAAATATCTTGATAAGCGAATTCAACTTTTCTAGTGCATTCCAACTATTTAAAGTGGGAATACATAAAGCGTTTATTTGGCTGGCTTAATCAGTCATCGGCAAGCATCTTCGGAAAAGAACAAAGGAGCGTCGGGCCAAAATCGAACTCAGTCAAGAAAGCGTTTTATGTATTCTCACCTTGACCTTCGTATACGCGCGTCAAAAATTGTAACACGTTTACTAACCCCCCGGTCTGTCAGACCGATACTTTCAGAGCCTACTTGTTTAAAAAAAATATTATAACCCCATTTATTATTAGGAACGTATGTTTTGAGTAATATAAACAAAAGTTTAACAAAAAAAAATATTTATGACTAATAGTTTACATTCTTGCATGGTACAATAAGGAGGTAGAACAGATTCGTAAAACTACAGAAATACGGCAATGAGGCTATGCCAGCTTCCTGTTATACCCATTCAAAATTATAAAACAATTTGTTTTCATTTTTTATATTTTTACTCATTTTTAAAACGAGTTAATATCAAAAATATGATTCAAACTATTCAATCTTTCAACATAGACAAAAGAAAATATAGACAACGAAAAGTTAGTTTGGTCTTTTTTCCAGGTGGCTCTCATCATGTTTTGCATAGTCAACATGCTCATTTACGCGTTCAAGCCACTCGACTTCGAAAAAACATTTTATCGTTTTTTAAGAATTTCACTGGAATATTACCATATTTTTCGTTGTCATTACGTACTTTTCACATTTCTTTTATTCTGAAATAATTTTCAACTGACAAATATCCTACAGTTTTTGTTATTTTTAACGTTTTAGAATTGAGTGACTTCAATATTCCCACTCAAAACCCTGAAACGATATGAACGACATCTGCTGATTCGATTTTTTCGAAGATAAACGGTGAGAGCATTTCGTTGTCTATATTTTCATTTGTCTATGCTTTCAATTTCATGATCAAAGTGGTTAATACGAGAGTTCGAAAAGTCACTCGATTTGGTAAATGTAAACGTACCAAAGCTTTATTTGACTTGTATCAAAATGGAAAATCGGTAATTTCAAGGAAAAAACCGATTACTGAACGTAGATTCTGACATTTTTTAAAGTCGATTAATCAAAACTTGACTTACGAATCCCTAATGTCGTGCTTCTCACACTTAAATCCCAACAACAAAAATCAAAACATGTTGTCTCTCATTTAATGATTCTCACTTCAATCCCAAATATTCTCGCAGGTACGATGAGATTTCCTGGACATTTTCTTCTTTAAGAAACCATACATGTTCAATATTGGCATTGTAAAATATTTAGAATCGTCACAGGCAGCATTTTGCATTATAATATTTTGCAATTTCAATCAGAAATTTATTAATTATTTAAAACACAAATATGCCCTACAATGTCAGTTTTGAGCGTGTAATTAATATATTGCTTTCTCTTTTTCTCTAATGCCAATTTTTATGATAAATAACTGAGAGAGAGAGTATAAATAACAAAGTCGTGTGATTTTTTCAGAATTTATTTTAACGTGTGTGCTTATTAAACCGAAGTTTTTTGTTCTGCGAACAAAATAAAAATAAATATAAATAAATACATTTTGTGCTGCCTCAAATTTGTGTAATTGCAAAAGAAACAAATTGCTTAAGATAAAACAAAATCATTGTTTCGACATATGAATCATATTTATCCCTAAAGAAAGTAGATTCCTTTGAGGGTTGATGAGTGGGTCACCGTTCTTTTTTATAACCCTAGAAGCTCTGAGAGTCACTCCTAATTTGTAAAAAAGGTCTATATTTATATATTTGTTTCCTGATAAGCGCGTTTTACATGAAATAACAATTCAGTTTGAAACTTTATAAAAATCGACGTATTTCCAAGTGCAACATAAACCTCCGAAATAAAAACAAAAAACAAGGCTATTTATTTTGCCTACCATTCTTTCTGAAACATTACGTGGAAAATCGATAAAAATAGATTTGATAAAAGAATTTGATAATTTGTCGTGCATTATTTTTCGTTGTGTGTGCCGTAATATATAGACGGGAAGAAGGAAACAACAAGTCTGCGCAAAAAACTGTGCGTCTGTTTGTTTATATATGTAAAAAACTGAACTTGGTCTGGTTTGTGACGAAATTCTTTGATAGTAAAAAATAATCAATACACATATTTGCGCCTCCGGCTTAGAGGAAAAGGAAATAAACGTTATAATTTCCTTTTTTATAGCAAAACAAAAAAAAATTCGATAAATAGCAGAGCAAAACAAAAACTCATAATAAAAATTAATTTAGTTGGTGCCAAAGAAGAACTTTTATTTGGATATATCATTTGTTCTATATAGACTATGGGCACAGAAACCAAGTTAAATTGCTATACAGAGAACACTACATCTGCTGGTATCGTACGTGTTCCAACAAAAGTTGCCACAGATAAAACATGCTCAAACAATAAGACATCGACATCCTTTTCAAATGTACCATTTGTTCCAATACACATTGATGAAAATGACGTTATCGAAGGTGCTAAACAAATTATAACATCGATTCGACCATCATGGAACCTGAGTTTTGTTCAGTTTAAGGTAAAGTAAAGCTCATTTTTTTCTAGTTTTCCGAACGTTCCCAGGGAACACTTTTCCCAAACCTCTTTCGAACGATCTTCCTTTTAGTTGTTATCTTGAAGGGATTTTAGAAGAAATTTAAAAAAAAGTTACAAAATCTATTTAATAAATTAGTTTGTTAATTTCCACATCCTTATATATGTTTTTTCAAGAAAGTTATTCCTGATTTAATAGCAATAGGCAGTAACCAGTGCCTGGAATTATCCATGGGTTATCTATTCTCTGTTCTGTGCGTGTAAATTTACTTTGTTGCCAGCTCTGGGTTCTTTCTATTACAACGAACCTTTCATCCTAGTTATCACTAAGAATATTTTGTATACAGTTTTCTTACATTAATAATGAAAACATACGCAGACACATCTAAATTAAAAAAAATATATATTGGTATCTATGGCCTTCTTTGACTTCCATTAAATGCAAAAGCATTAGACTATAAATTTCCACTGAAACACAGTGTAACGAAAAGAAATCATGTATAACGAATATAAATCAGATATTATGCAAATTGAGAATACCAGTCAGTTGAGTTTACACCTCTCAGTTGTAGTTTAACTGGAGTAATTTTTATAATTTTTTTAAATTCGTATTATATGACATACCTATATGTGTCAATAATTAAGACTGGCTAATACTAGTTTTTTCGATTAAGAATAAATATAAAAATACTAATACTACGTTGTATTTTACAGTGGTCATTAAAATGCTATCATAACTTATTTCTAAGTAGGAAAGTCAAAAATCAAAATTTCATTCGGAAAAATCGTTTGCTAGACGGATGATAACTGTTTTTGGAATACATTTAAGACTAGGGATATTTGGAATGTGAGCCCCGAATATCATCGAGCCCATATGAGGAAACCTTCGAATTATCAGCATTTCGCAAGTTTAATGTTACGTGATAATGGAATGGAATTTTCTTAAACATGAAGTTTAAAATATGTACAGGGTGAGATGAAAAAAACTGAATCAAACTTCAGACTGCTTTCATTTTTAAACCACTCGTCCGACAGCTGTTAAAATTATTCCAGTGACAGCTCATTATATTGTTTACAAACGTACATAAGCATTTTGGTGAGAATTTTCCAGAACAAAAGTTATTCGTGATGGAATTCATGCGTGATTTCTTTACATTTGACTAGAAAACCACAAGTGGCTATCGTTAGAGCACTCCAGCATTTAAATGTGAATAATACTTTTGTGTCTCGTACCATCGCTCGTTACAGTGATACTGGTAGCGTAGTCCGACGTCAAGAAAGACGGAAAGGAAGAAAACAGCAACATCAGCAGAAATGGTTTGAAAAGTATAGAAGCGACTTGATCGAAACCCGCGTCGCAGTGGCCGAAAAATGCCTTATGAGCTGAACATATCGCAATATTCCATTCGGCAAATATTGAAAAATGAGCTCGGGGTAAAGCACAAGGCGGCTATAGGTTGATATTATTGTCTCTTCAAAAATGCCGCGGGTTTCCAACACAGCACACAATATTGTGAATATTATCATCCAGAATTAAAATACTCTGCTTGCCATCAAACCTTATGATTACTACATAATCGTTTTGTAGTTTTTGTGGTTGTTTACTACAAATTTACTACAAATATACATAAATGTTTCAGACCCTGAATTTCCGTAACATATTTTCAGTTTATGTGATAACTTTCTGACCACTGACAATAAGATTCCATTATCGTCAGACTAAAGAAATGAACAAAGATCATCAGAAAACTATTTTCCAGAGATAAGACAAATCGTGTCAAAATGTATATACTATCAAATATTTATAATTCTAATGTTAAAAAACAATATTAAGTAGATCTTGTTCTATTTTGTAGCATGCAGACTTAGGTCCCATATATATGTTTCATTATATTGAAGATTTACGCTGAATTACAATAATATATTCTTTAGTCTCTAAATACTTATGTACATATTCATTCATTCATATTCATGTACATTCAGATTCATATTCATTCAGCGCATTATATTACTGGCTTCTAAATTAACTCTATGAAGGTAGAATACATTTGAGATCTTACACTTTTGCGGCTACGACAGCAATATCTACATAATTTCACAAAGAAAATAGGGAAATAGAGAGTTTTAAAATATGTTTGTGAAATTGATTCATTCTTAAAAATGACTTTTAAACAGGTTATGAAACTTTGTTTTTGCTGTCACATTTAATCTAATCTCGTCAATTACGCAATAATAATGTGTTCATTATTGTCGCTTTGCGGCAGTTATTATTCTTTCAGCGATATTGTTTGAGATCATTCATTGATTTGAGAGCTTCTCGAAAAAACCGATTTGTGGCGCACTTGGCGCAAATATTTTTGCGCATTGTGGGTTCGTCAGACATCTCGACAATCCCATTAAAATGTCAACCCGCTAATAAATCTGTATGTTAAACATTTGGACAGTCATTATTTGCTTGTTACAATGCAAATGAATTTGTAGTTCTTGTTGAATAAATTGTTCACACAACGTAGTAAAGTAGAGCCATTGGCCTCGCAATGGGGGCGTTGTTATTATTTGCCTTGCATTTGAATTATCATATATGATATGTACACTTTTAAATAATAATGCCTCAATAAGAACATACGCTTCCTGGATTGATGCATAAATAAAATAGTGCATACGAAGGTCAAAGATGACATCTTTGAAAGTAAAAGTTTTTTAACTCATTTAAAGACATGTAACCACATTACATCACTTTATAGAATAGAAAGTTTAGTATACTCTTAGTTCAGCTCTTGACTAAATATCTTAACTAATCAAGTATGTATACCCTAAGGTGATAAGAATCTGTCATATCATCTTTTTCCAAGTACAAGGAGCTGATATTTGCATAAGCTGGGCAATGACAGAGGAACAGTCCCAACTTTTCGTTGTCTTCTCGGCATGCCCGTAGATGTTACTAATTTTTTAATATTAGGTACTTTTTAGTTACTCGAATCTACGCCCTATCAGACCTTACGTTTTTGCAAACGGAAAAATATTTCTTTTCCGAGTTCGTCGTAAGTGTGCCTAAGTTCGGTATGTCCCAGTAGTCGGCACTTTTCATTTTTAAGCTCAAATAAATGAAACAATTATAACTAAATGTGAACAGAAATTTCTGTTTGCTTCGAATATAATGTCAGCTATCTTTGTGTACAATTTTGCTTGGATGATTTATTCTAATAAAAATTAAATTTTTATCTGTGAAGGTCATCAGCATGAACGGACAGTCCATATTCTTAAGAAAAGTGCAATAAAGACGTTGAATCAGTTTAACTGAACAAAAATATAATGTTCTAATAAATTAATTTTTTATTATTATTAATTATCCTTACAAAAAATCGATATGCCGACGGTTGGAACATGTCATACCGACAATTGACAAGTGGTAAAAAAGTCAATTTGTTAATAATGTTTAATACCAGAAATACGAATTTGTACCACAGTTGGAATTGTACCATATTTAATCAGGAACTTTCCTGGAGCCTTAGAGCCCACCCGATGTGTTTAGTATTTTTTCATTAACTGACAATTGGTTTTCAAAAGAGTCTCGATTAATAACGCTAATTAATTTTAAAGCTGTATACTCTACATAGTAGTTTACTAACAATTAATAATTAAAGGTGGCGGCGAAACCATCATCTTTCCCTCACTCTTTTATCACTATATAACCCACAAAAGTTAGCATTCATTCGAACACAACTTTGCAAACTTACACATGATTAAAATAAACCCGTTTTGCTGCTGTTGTTTTGTAAACATTTAATTCCACACTTTTCGCTCCCCACAAATAACCATATTTGCCCCTCATATTTACTTAACAATATTGTTGGATTTTCGTTGCATGCTATTTGCACTGAAAGCTGTATATAATTTTATTATTGCAAAAACCCGCATATAGCACAAAAAATTAAACTTTTCGTTCGAGATATAGTTGAATAATTGTCTTTGCTAATGCATTAGGGATCTTGTATAAGGTGGCGCAAAAATAAACCTCCTATCAGAAAATGTTATAAATTTTAGTATTCGCCGTAAATGTCTTAATTACAGCCAAAAAAACATCGGAATGTCTGTTAAGTACTTATGCATGTACAAGGTGACGCAAAAGTAAACATCCGATGTTTTAGTTTTTTGACTGTAATTAAGACATTAGGGGCCGGTTGTAAAATGTATAGCAATTTCTGATAGGAGGATTACTTTTGCGCCATCTTTTATAAAAAGGAATTCTAAGATTGGCGTTGGGCCCAAAAGACTTTAGATAGGAAGCTAAGATTTGATCCTTAAAGGGAAAATAAAAGATTTATTCGAAGCAAGTTAAAGTTCAAAGATATACTTTATCCGTCTACGATATTGTATAGCCCGGTTATTTCGATTATTCGGGACACTTTTTTTCGTTGTATTTATTTGAAATTTGGTACTTAAAATTGATAGTGAATAATTATCCCTGTGGAAGGAAATTATATTTAGCCCCACACTTTCGTAAAACCTCTTATTTGATATGTTAGCTTTAGTTAGATTTAGTCAAAAAGTATTCAGATCTACAGAAATTTTGGAGCATTTTTTATCTAGTTCGAAAAAAATTAAAATAGCTTCGAATACCTAACATCGTCTACATAGATAAGTCCAAACGAAATCTTAAAAGATTTTTAACATCATATATTTTCGGGGACAGTCTAATATTTATTTTGTTCTTTTCGTTATTAGTTATCAGTGTAATTAAAACAAAAAAAAATATTTATTTCGTTGAATGGAGCTTAACAAAATATGTTGCTATTATCTACTAAACAATTTAAGCGCATTTTTCAATTTAAATGTATGTTTTGTCGAAGGTTATCAATAGCGCCGCCGGATTTTAGACGTCAAACATAATAAGTACTGGAACATTTTAAGTCCGTAACCAGGAACAAGTAACAATTATTCACTTTGATTATCCTTTGAGATGAAAGTTTACGAACAATATTGCTGATTGTTAACTCTTTTTATTCGGAACGTAATTTCTCTTTATCTTATCTCGACAATTTGTGATTCATTTTGTGTGAACGAACTTGAGGCCACTCTACTTTTTGAGATATCAAACAATCTCAACACATGTGATAGATTTATTTACATATGACAGCCGTAAATTTGCTTATATATTGAGAAACGTTCGATAGTGGACTTTGACATTTCGTCCATAAATGTGGTTGAAGAATACAAGCTACAGTTAATCATGCTTAGTAACGACACTTCTTTTCTCTTTCAGAAATTCACCGATGGGATCACAAATAAACTTGTTGGCTGTTTTTATAATCCACCAGAAGATCATAATGTTGCTTCCCTCGCCAATGGAGTTAATGGTATACACATATGTTCCGAAGAGTTAACTGCACAGAATATTGACAGTCCTGTCGATGAAAACAACGACTCCGGAAATCTCAGCGATGCCGAAGCCGATGCCGACACTGATGCGGAGTCACAAAACTATTCAAACACAAATACAAGCAACCAAAAACAGAAAGACGTGATACTTGTCCGCATTTATGGCAATAAAACAGACCTGCTTATAGATCGCAAAGCTGAAACCAGGAATATTATCTTGTTGCATTCGTATGGATTTGCACCCACACTATATGCCACATTTAAGAATGGATTGGTATATGATTTTGTACCTGGCGTTACTCTCAATACAGAGAGTGTTTTACTTCCCGAGATATGGTCGTTAGTGGCTCAACGCATGGCAAATATGCACAGGGTTGTCAAGCCCGATTGGAATCGGAATGAAAAACCCGTGCCAATGCTGTGGAAAAAGACACAAAGTTTCTTTGACCTAGTACCTGAACGTTTCAGTGATGCCGAAAAACAAAATAGGTAAATTTTGCATAGATTGTTTCGAAGATTTTCTATTTTTTGCAAAGTGCCAAAAACAAATTCATTATTTTGTAGAATTCGTTGATGAGCGGTCGTCCACAGAGGACGAACGGATCGGATTGAGTACGAACGGGCGCATCCAGTAAGGGTGCTGGGTGGTTGTCGTGTTTAGCAACGAGATTTTACGATACTCCGTTGTTATATTCGTCGTTCGTCCTACGTTCGTATTCATTTTGTCTTAAGAAATATCACAATTCAGTTGTCCTACAACACAATGAAAAGCAAAGTAACAAATAGGCGATCATGCATGTTCATGTCTGTTGTATGCCGCCGCGTCATCCACTAAAACCCCTATTAATGCATCTGTCTTCATCTCTTTTTTAATGTTTCATTTGGACATAAGCAGACTTGAGGGCGTATTTTTACCTATTAAACGCATGCGCGATGAATTTGCCGAATTGTATAAGCATTTGGAACGTTTGGACTCGCCGCTAGTATTTGCACATAACGATTTATTGCTGGGCAATGTTGTTTATACCGAATCTCGTAAAACCGTCACATTCATTGACTACGAATATGCTGACTACAATTTCCAGGCTTTTGACATTGGCAATCACTTTGCCGAGTTTGCTGGTGTTGATACAGTGGATTACACGCGTTATCCCAGTCGAGACTTCCAATTGAAATGGCTCAGAGTTTACTTGCAAGCGTATTTGCAAAAGAGCGATGTGACTGATGCTGAAGTGGAACGTCTGTATGTACAGGTAAATCAATTTGCATTGGCAGCACACTTCTTCTGGACAATATGGTGTCTCATACAAGCCGAACATTCCACACTCGATTTTGATTACGTTGAGTAAGTATGTCTGTATTTCAGGCCACGCTTTGTCCATTTAACCTTATATTTATTTGCAGTTATGCTTTCCTACGCTACAATGAGTACTTGGCCCGGAAGGATGAGTTCATGTCCCTGGATGAACGCTTACCAAAGTGCAAAATATAGATGACGAATGGCGGTTCGAAACTTTGTTAGGTTTCCCGCGTTAACTTGTTGGAACTTTTCAACAACATACCCCGCCTAGCTACACAGAAAGGCGGCATTTTTACAAATACTACCTACCCCTTCCTTATTGTAAACCAAAACTTACACAAAATACAACAAACATCAGCATTCCGCCAGCATTACTAATTTTTCTATTGAACGTTCGTTGTGTGTACTTTTTAATATTTTACGTTCTGATTTAGTGTGATGGAGATTCTTCAGCCTAGTGTAACACAAAAATGTTTAAACCGGGAAAACAAAATTCTGTACTTCTAATTTATTGTTAATGTGAATATTATTTTGCCTCGGGCTGTGTATGATTATTTTTTAATCAAATCGTATTGACATCATTAACTGTACACCAAATGAAATGATTAATTGTACAGAGTCAATCAATCTTGTGATTTAGTTTGTTGTATTTAGTTATATATGTTTTTTTATTTTTAATAAGATAGGTACCATTGTTTTCAACTATGTCGTATCATCCATGTTGGTGATGAATGTTTCGCTCAGAACAGACAACAATCGGTTTTTGATTTTTGAATTTATTGTTTTTATTTCCTTCTGCGTCTGCCTAGTAACTTACTTTTTACCCAAATGTGATGAGCTATTTCTTTTTTTATACAATTGATTAAATACCATCTTGTCCATTGTACCTTTGAGTTGTGTTTGTAGAGTAAGTCAGTCGCCAGAGAATTATAGAATTTATGGTACTATTATTCTCCTTATGTATGTACGTATGTCTACTTCTAAGATTTCCTTCAGCAATTTTGTGCAGCAACAAATAATAATAACAATAATAATTAGGCAAACAAACAAACGATGTTATAATTGTAAAGTTTTTTATCGTTCTCAAATTTATCATATACATTTACAATACGACACATATATTTGTTTTGTTTACTCTATATTTATACATATATTAAATAAATAAAATGAAAAGGTATCATGATTCGATTTATTTTCTTATTAATTAGCATTACACAGATATGTTTTAAGTTGTAGGCGTTCAGCTTAAAAATGTTGATAATTCCATTTTTTTTGTTTTTGTTTATTTCTCTATAATCCAAGCACCTCTTTAAGGCACACATGACGGTGCAATATATAAATTGGCACTCATGTACGATAACTTTTCCAGTAAAAATTACTCAGTATCACCTACTTTGAAAAATTCAATAAAATCGGTGATGCTCAGAATAGTTCGTACATTTTAATTGGTAAGAAAATTGTTTCTTTTTAAAATTTCGTTAAAAATTTTCATTGAAGCCTGATCATAACTGATTCAAACATTTTTAACCAAGTTGAAACTGAATACCAAAATCTTTCGTAAAGATCACAGTAGAATTAAGGCTTCACAAGTTATTTCATGTCATGCGACATAGATAAAATAACAACCACGAAGATAATTTCTACCATAACCGATTTTTTACTTTAAGATATTGAAAAAATTGCAAAACTAAAAGATTCTTTCAGGTTCCGGAACATAGCAATTACATTTGAATGTGTTCATAGAGGCTCAGCTCATACAACGTCAACGTTTTTGCTGGGTGGTTTCCGATCTAATAAAGCAACATTGCTAATTAATTTGGTGATGACGTGATTAGTTTTTTTGCTGTTCCCCTAGTGGTGCATGTAAAATATCCATTTTTACTGAGTAACACGAGATTTTTCTCAAAAATGCTGTTCAGAAGATTCGAAGTAAAATTTTAAAGACAAGAATTCGATATTTTTATGTTGTGGGGGTTATTTTTTACTATAATGTGTGCAAATAACCTAATGCCTTTTTGTAATATATCACAAAAGTAGCGTGATTCTCTAACTCTTTTTTTGATCATCGAAAAAAATCGATAAAATAAAAATGCTTATATTTTCGTACAAAACAAACTCGTCGTTATTTGTCAACTTAGTCTAGTCCTTTTGCCGATATTTGTTACGGATAAGAGAATTCCACTCATGGATTTATTGCTTAACCCATATTTACAATACAAAAACAGATCTTCTCATGGCGGATTTATGTTTACATATTACGGAAAGCAGCACGGGATTTGTATATTGGTACTGCTGTACACTCTAAGATCGCCATTTTTTTCACATGGTAATACATCGGAAGATGCATTATTTTCCATGCTATGATCAACAATCAATTGTTCCCAAATCAGGTTTTTTTCTTTCGATGGCATGTACATCCTCCCAAGGGGTATCTAAACACACATGATCTATTAAGCCCAGTGCATGGTGGAAAAATACAGGTAGATGCATCAACGCTTGGGAACATTGATATGTCAAAATTTTTGAAATGTTTTTTTTTTTTTTTTTTTTTTTTTCAAAAAAATTTATGTTTTCTTATACGACGCCAATCGGAGATTGTTATGATATTCGTTTTTCAACAATTTTTACGAATTTGAATAACTTTTCATTCAAAATTTTCAATTTCAAATTTAGTTTGACAGTTCATTGTCCCAGCAGCTGTGTCGATGCGACTACCTGTATTCTTCTACCATGGCCCAGTGCATAAATCTTATGGCCTGTTCCAGAACTGCAAGGATGTAAAAGTTTTTACTACGATAACCGATTTTTCCTTAATGATATAAAAAAAATTGCAAAAATGGTAGATTCATGCAGGTTCTGGAACAGAGCATTTGCTAAAACAATATTTTGAAAGACTATTGTTTATGTGTTTCATGGTAGAAGAATATAGGTAGATGCATCAACGCTTGGGAACATGGATATGTCAAAATTGTTAAAATGTTTTGTCAAAAATAAGTAGAGTTTAAACGTTTTCTAATACAACACAAATCGGAGCTTGTTATGATATGCATTTTTCAACAATTTTTACAAATATCAACAGTTTTTCATTCAACATTTTTAATTTCAAAGTCGGTTTGACAGTTCATTGTCCCAGCAGCTGCGTCGATGCGTCTACCTGTATTTTTCTACCATGCTCTGTTTGTTCGTTTACTTTTCTTACTAGTAAAAATTGCAAAAGTAGTAGAGTGTAAACATGGCTCTTTAAATTGTGCTGATATTTTGTGTAAAGGATCACGTTAAGTAACAGAGCTTTACAGGGTCGTATAAAATACATATTATTTCATAGCATCGAAGTTCGATCGATGACAGGAGTTCTAACATTAAATAGTAATTCCCCCCAGGTTTAAATGTTAATTTTTTACGAACTGGAATTCATACTTGCAAGATGTGAGATCAGACTCAAGATAACGCCGTCGTGGAAAAATGCAGATCTAGCGTGCAGAAAATAAAAGTTGATGTCTTATTGTATGTTTATCCATAATTTGGATTAAACTTATTTTATTAATATATTTGGCGAATTTTTAAATATTTAAACAATAAGGCGCCGGATTTTATTTTTCCTATAGAAATTAAATTTTTATGTGAAAATTTCTTTATGAAAAATTTAAAGATTTTTTTTAAATGACTTGTGAACGTAAATTATTCCTAGCATAGGACATTCTTTTTTTAATTTGCAGCGATATAAGTTAGTTAAGGTGTTTTTGTTAATATTATATATCTCAAACATTATTTTGTGCAGTGTATAAATTACTTCTTTAATTCTAATCACTTTCAGAATCCGAGTTTTGATCTGAATTAAGGACTTCTCTTCGATGGTTTAGAGATGTACTACGAGATAAACTTGATACTATCGGATCAGAAGAAAATAGCAACCCGTTGAATAGATCCCTGATTTCTTATTCACAACTCATTTTTCTGGTTTACAGTTTCATGTAGTCCCGCTTAGTGCTTATTTCTGAATTGCGTGGCTTCCATAGACAACATACATATTATTGGCAAAGCTGCAAATTTAATTATTACAGCCCAATGCCCTTAAAATTTTTGTATGCTTGAAGGCATGTATAACCAAAAATATAATTCCACAAAAAAATAATTATTTCCACAGTAAATATTTAAATGAACGTTAATAGCCATGGTAGAATAATACAGGCAAGTGTTGTGGTACAACAACCGTAACAACCACATACAAATTTGTTTTTGTACGTAATACAAGTGTCAGAGTCATGGTAGAAGAATATAGGTAGACGCATCGACACAGCTGCTGGGACAATGAACTGTCAAACTAATTTTGGAATTGAAAATATTGAATAAAAATTTATTTAAATTTGTAAAAATTGTCGAAAAACGTGTATTATAATAACCTCCGAATGACGTCATATAAGAAAACATTTAAAAATCTACTTATATTTGAAAAGACATTTAAAATTTTTTGACATATCAATGTTCCCAAATGTTGACGCATCTACCTGTATTTTTCTACCATGTGCCAGAGTTATGTGTCCAAAAAATGTAAACAAAGTAATTCATTTTCAATAAATTATTCTAATTTCAAAAATGTTCATTTTTGGAATTTGGAATATTAAATTTAAAGTGCAGAAGAATAGTTATTAAAATATTTAATTTTAGCTAGAAAATCGTGGAAAAGGCAACATCCCTTTCAAGTTGAAACCAAACAGCATACATAAAGTATTCTACATTATTATATATATTATCTAACGTAGTGGCGCTGTTCCTTAACCGCAAAAAACAGTTTCCGAACCATCGCACAGAGATTTATTCAGGGAAGCATTTTATCGCACTAAAATTTTGCTCAGACATTAATATTACCTCTCATATGTTTGGCATTAATAATGGGACGTAACGGTCCACGTTTCGGTAAGGCCCCCCACATAGCGTTATTTCCTGATTTTTGGTATTTTGAAGGTTTCGGCCACAATTTCAAACTCAGTCATGATTATCTTGACATTTTGAGTTTGTGAAGATAAATCCACTATTAGTATTGACCATATAAAACGGCACTTCCAAATTTTAGGTATTTTGAGAATTTCTCCCTTCATAATATATAATAGTACTTCCTATTAATAGGTATTTTGAGGGTTTTAGACAGAGTTGTTTACAGGCTTATTATTTTGTTTTTGTTTACCAATGGATGGATGGAAAAATTACAAAAATTGCTTATATAAATCCAAAATTTGAGTAAAGCCAGAAAAAAATATTTATACAAAATTGGCTGGCAATTAAGCCTTCCTATCTGAAATAGACTAAAACCTTATTAATATATTTAGAAGAAAAAATGTATGTGACTGACATTTAAAAAATCATCCTCCCTTAAATCTATCTCATTGTCTCAAATTGGATAATCAGTCAAAATTGAGGGTGAGGCAAGTAACCTCGCCACTGATTTTTTAAAGAGACTGGAATATTTTTATATATGTTTAGAATTCCAGTTAATAACAGGATAGAAACGCAAGAGAAACTTATTTAATAAAGAGCAACAAAGATAAAAACAAATAAAACAGAGCACTAGATCAAAGTACATTCACCGCAGAATTTTAAGACCTTCTCGATATTATTTTTTTGAAATTTGTCATTCATAGGAAACTGGTGAGTTTGTAAGTATAATGGGTAAAAAAATTCGCATTCCGAAGACATGTTAGTCATTGAAAATATACATTGCGAGCCGCACATTAACGATATTAACCAGTTTTGCAATTGAATTGAAAGATTGAACAATCACATTTCAGGGTTGAATTTCTGTTGATTTATGAAGCTGAAGCTCATTATTGCACCATGAGTTTAGGTATGACATGACAAAATTATATGTGTTAATATTATTCTAACATATGTATATACTTTTCCATAATTTTTCATTTCAATATCTAACTTTCAAAACTAAAATGAAAAATTTGGCACTTCGATATGTACGTTTTTAATAATATATACACATTTCTTTTGTTCAAAGACTTTGGATGGAAATACATAAAACACATATTTGGCTGGCTTCGTCGGAGTTTTAGGCAGACTTAGTTCAATTGTGGCCCTAGGCTCCTTTGTTTATTTCCGAAGGAGTCAGCCAGATAAGCGCTTTATGTAAAGTGCATATTCATAGATATTTAGATTGTTTTGACTTGTTATTATTTTTTA